AATCACAGATGCTTCCTGAGCAATAGGTCCAACTTTACCTGCCAACAACAAGACATCCATCACTCATCAGAAGGCTAGAGAGTTAAAAACTCCATTTCTGCCAGAATTATTTCCTTCTCTCTCAGCCCAGAATATTTGTGACTTAAAAATAAGTCAGAGGAATTGTTAGGCTGTGTGTTGCTATCGCTATCTGGTCCAGCTACAACAGTGGCAAGGACTGCTACTGCAATGGAAAAAATTGATACTAAGCTGTTAGTGAATAATCTGTCCATAAAAGAATCTTCTCCTCAGCTCCAAGAGCAAATGCGTAACCCCTGAAAAATGAAGAAGTACTTCAAAATACCTCAAGCGCATGGAGACTGTAGCCTCAGGTATTTATAATTTGTAGTCCTGGCTAACTTGTTTCTCTATCTTTTCAAACTCTTACAGTGCACAGGCAAGGAGTTCCACAGGCTTATCCTGCTCTGTGAGTGCATGAAAATCTAGGAATAAGACTCCTGAGAATGCAGCTAAATGTAAACAAAATATCTGCAGGGCAAGGACAACCCCAGGATTGCTGTGGGGTTAAAGATAACTGATAAATGTCTTTCAACACTGAGAAGTCCTAAAGATAATTTTTTCCAGTCTTCACTGCACAAATATTGCTCCAGCAATATTATTAAATACTAGATAGGGATCTAACCTGTGCTTTATGTTTTTGGACTTGTAAGCCAAGAAGGTGGGGCTAGGTATTCCTCTTCATGCAGTCTAACACCAGCTTGTCATCCTCCTAAAGGATGGAGGAATACACTTAACACCCCTCATATGGCTTTGAGTTACTATTTAGAAAAGGCCTCCTTCATCCACCTTTTTTGAGGATTTTCAAGGTTAATGTCTTCAGACAGACAGCCTGGAATGGAGCTGCACAGAATGATCTTGCTTGCACTGAAATCAATGGAAAATGCCCATTAACTCCATCAGTCATACTCCTGAGCAAAGCCCAAGTTGTTCTCTATCTTCACTCAGGAGGTCTCTGGTCTTTTAAAACCCGTGGCTCACTGGGAGCTCTTGCAGGAGACAAGCTGTACTTAGGAATACTGGAGAAAGCATACTGTCTATTAAAAACAGGCTGCAGCTCTACAGACACAATAACAGTTTTCAGAAGTATCTAAGGTGATGTAGAAACTTAAGTGTTATGGAAATTTTGATTTTGGAAATGAATTTTCACATTTTGGGAGACTTCATTCTTTGTAATAAGCAAAAGCAAGTCTAAAGCCCTTTGCATGCTCTCAGCAGCACAGGGTAAAACAAAACCCAAGAATGGTGGCTCATGCCTATTTCAGGGAAGACAGACTTTGGGACAAACCTCACCATGCTTTGGGTGAAATGTGGAGAGAGAAGCGGCAAGCTAAGTAATCTTGGTTGTGACATGAGCTGCCATGCAAAGTAACAAAACAGTCACGCTCAGTAAGGATCCTAAGTAAGGATCTGATTTCTTGGAATTCTCTTTGCTGACCCTGAGCTGTCCTGGCTCTTGCTGTTGTTTCAGGAGGTATGCACAGAAAACCTCAACCATCCATCAAGAAAACTGCTAACAGTTAATGTAAGCCAAAAAGCATGATCCGAATAAATAACTCCTCTTGATATTATATATACATCCTTTCCACCACCAGCACCTTCAACCAGACAAACTGCAGGTTGTGCTAATGGGAACCAAATCAGACAAGAGGAGAGTTCACATCTGGGATTCCCAAATTCCTACTCCTGTGCTGACAGTGCTGAACATCTCCTAAACAACAGTGCATGGTTTTCTGAGCAGCAGTGGAGTGGTGTCTTCCTTAAACATCAGCACTGGTCAGAGCTCTTTGTGATATTCAGAGTGGGATACTAGAATATGTCCATGAGTGCTATTCCTGGAGAGTCATTGGATGTCAGGAAATGAGCCCAATTCTTGGGAAGGGGTGACGCAGAAAAACTTGTAATTCTGCTGCAAGGACCACAAGTGGTAGTAAGAACAGCAAGTTCTAGTAAACGAGTAGCAGAGTACATTGTGGAGTTCTGAATTTTGACAGAAGGCTGCTGGACTTTCAAGTTTAGAATACTCAACACCCAGAAATCCAGTCTGTTTGTGTCAGCCTTTCAAAGGAAGACTTTCTAATCTGAGCAAAAATCTTGGCCTGTTTACATTTCAAGTCTCACTTTGCAGCTAAAACCATCAGAGGAAGCTGATCTGTAACAGAATCCTTTTTAAAAACTACTGTATTTTAATCAATCACACACACAGAGTTAGGGTGGCAACTGGCATCAGAGCCTCCATGTTGGTGCACATCCTCAGCCGGTCAGCTACCTGAGAAAGGGAGAAAGCTTATTTTGTAGCACCTGTGGATTCAAAAACAGATAACAGCTCTACAACTACTGCAGGGAGCAGGGCACAGAGGTACCCCCTAGTATCTCTAATATAACAATTCTGGATGCTGATGGATTATAAGGGGAAAGTATCCAGGTGTATGCGCTCTCTCTAGACAGCATCTCTTACTGACAGCATCAGCAACAGGAACCTGCAACAGTAAAGCCATTGCTCTGACACAGTGGGGCATTTATCTTCTTAGGCAGTATCTGAAATCAGTAGCTTTCAGCTAGCACAATATGCTTTTACAGCTGAAGAACTGACTTATCTATATCTGGCTGGAGCATGTCTCTGAGGTTTGGCACCACGCTGAGTAAGAAAGGAGGGATAAGCTGCAGCCCAGCAGTAGCCCTGGAAGAGGTATGTGAGTCACGACGTCTGAGTCACACTCTTCCCCTGCATCTTTCTGATAGAGAATCACAGCTAACAGGGCAGGGGAGGGGGCATGGAGCCTCTGTGTTCACCCGAGGGTGGAACTGACTCTACCTAAATTATGCTTGATACATATTTATTTAAACATATCCAGCAAAGGAAATTGCACACATTCTGTAAGCAACCTATGTTATTCCACACTTCACCACTCTTATTTTTAGGAACTATTTACTAATGTCTAAGCTAAACCTATTCTGGTGCATTTTAAGCTCATAAGGGACATAAAGATTAGTCTGGTCCTCTCTGCAGCAAATTAAGCTGTCTTCTCTAGACTAAACAGCCCCACTCCCATCAGTATTTCCTGGCTGACTGGAGGCCTAGAAGAACTGACTTCTTTTGCTGCTCTCTCCTGGACACCCTCCAACTTCAGCTGCTACTCTTTAGAACTGACCTTTGCCAGTAACAAATCACCATACTCTTCATAAGCCATTCCATGAACTGGCAGTGGAGGTAAAAGTTCCTCACTTGCTTTCTCTGCTGAGTGAGCAAGCCAATGCGTTGACTTGTATGCAAACTATAATCTGAATAGGTCTTATATGAAGTGTGCTGATTATCAGAAGGATAGCAATCTCCCCCCATTACCTGCCACCCACACAAGTAACTGGTGTAAACTGTAGCCACTATGTAAAGATGCAAAGAAAGAGAATACCGGAGGCAGCAGACACACAGGTCTTCATTTGCATTGTCTTGTCCTGAGAGCTCAGGCTGGAAGGCATACTCTTCTTCAGTATGTTCTCACTAGCACAGATCCCTTGCTACAAAAGGAGGAAAGAAGAAAAGAATGCAACTAAGAAACCCACTAGCCAGTGGCACTCATAAATCTCTAAACCAGACCATGGAAATGCAGCAAGAGCCAGGCAAGGCTGGCTGGGGACATCCTGCAGAGGGAGGGAGAAGGCAAGAAGGAAGACAGCTGCTACAAATAAAGGGTTATTTCACATGCAGGCAAGTTATCCTCTGTCTCTTATGGATGGGTAATTGAAGAACTTGCCCAAGCCGCACAAGAAGTCAGTGGAAAAGCCAGATCTTCGGGAGGCAGTCTCGAGAGCAGAGCAGTGAATGCAGTCAGTAGCAGTGAGGAAGCTAGCACAACTCAAAGCAGCCCTTGGGCTACATAAATGCATTCTGGGCGATAGGCAAGCCCTGAGAAGGTTCAGGCTTTAGCACTGCAAAGGCACGTGTAAGAGGATCCAGCTCTGAAACTAATCACCGTGCCAGTATAGTCCCACATGTTACTGATCACTTCCATCACTTGTCTTTCTCAATATATTTTAGAGGCCAGTCCTGAAAAATCTGTCTTTGAGTAATGCTTACAACCTGCCTCCCATGGAGATGATATTGAACAGTTTGCAAGAGCACCCAGGCAATCCGGTGCAGAATTCACACCCATGCAACATTATTTAGTACTCTACCTCCTCTTGATCCACTTTGGTCAAAGCTTTGTCTTCAGCTTTATGTTCTTTGGCAAGAGGGTGGTCCTGGAAACCCTTTCGTTTTAGTTTTGCCATGGAGACCCAAGCTGGTTCAGAGGAAGCAGTTTCCAAGTGTAAAGAGGAGACTTTTTCTACAAAAGAAACATTTCTGAAGTAAAGAAGGGATTTAGGTCAAATCAGTCTAAAGCTAGCATTTTCTGGTTTAAATCCTTCAGTATCTGTAATACCCTTTGAACACTGTGGAGATAAAATTACCTTCCCTGATGATTTTGTCCTTGGCAACAACTGTTTTTCTGTTTATTCCGGAGGTTTTGACCTGACTCTGCTTCCGTTTAAGTCAATGGCAGAGGTCCCACTGAGATCACTGTGAACTGGATTTTGCCTTTGAAAAAACATCCTTACATTGCAGACTAAACGAGTATGATGACTTTTTTTTTAATGCAGGCAGTAAAATACAGGCTGCCTTTTCACTTTTTAAATATTTTAAATTAAGTGATTGTAGAAAAAAAATAATCACACCTAATGCAACTCCTAGTTAATGTTTGAGCTGCTGCAGTATGGAAAATTAACTACAAAACAGCAGCAAGTTTTTAAAAACTGTGTTAAAAACTATATGCATAAATAGCTCATACCAGAAAGGCCCTGCAGCGATCACTCTATTGTTATGCTTGCTGGAACACGCCCTTCATTAAGATAAGTGAAGAATTTTCTTGACTGGCCAAGTCATCGAGCCAATTAAATCATGGTGCTGATGAACTCAACGCTGAACTTAGTCCTCGTCAAAAGGATTTTTATCTTTTGTTGCCACTCTGCCAAGGCTCTTATATGACCACTGTTTTCTACAATGTTTGTTTTGCCACAATAGAAATACAGCTTAAATACCTGAGGGTTTATGACCATTTTGCTTCTTTGCCACTTCTTCCAATCTTGTCTTGGGAGGATTTTTGTCTTCTAGGAGATCTGGTTTTTCAACAAATGATTTTGTGTTGACAGGAAGGCCTAGAGATGGCTTCCCAGTACCCACCAGTTTCTGATCCTCCTTGACTGAGGCAGAAGAAGCAGTGGGAACAGCTGAGGGGATCGGCTTTGGAGACTCAGCACGGCTTTCATTCTGGTATTTTAGTAAGGAAGATGTTCTCCTTAGTCTGACCCCAAATGGGTTTTCAACATTTTGTGCTTCGTGGTCAGTCCACTCCACAGAGGAATTCAAATGCAAATCACTGTACTTACAATCTCGATCAAATCTATCCGAGTTGGGTTTTGCCGATTCCTGCATGGCTGTATCAAAACATGCGTGTTCTTTTGTCACTCCTTCAAACAACTCTGGTCTAATAGGGGACGTTGGGGAACTTCTGGTATAGGAATCTTCCTTTGAATTTGAACCCCCTGAGAGAGATCTTTGCCATGCTGGTGCAATGGTAAATCTGACTGGTTTAGCAGACGCAGTCTTCGGTGGACTTTTAACATTTTCATCAGAAGACTGACTGTCTTTCACTGGTTTTCTGTGAGGTGTACTGCTTATCTGGTACTCCTTACTGTCACCACTGGAAGAGATATTACTCTTCAAGCCAGCCAGACTTGAAGAGGCAAGACAGCCAATGGAAAGTTTTTCAGAAACGTGTGATGTGTTGGCCTGCTGAGTGCCTTGGTTATCCTTCAAAAAAGAAACAGTTTCTGCTTTATAACATACTTCTGATTTACAGGGAGGTACCGAGACAGATGCAGCAGTGTCTAATTTTTTTTCTGCATTGCCTTTGGATGCCTGAAAATCCATTCTTTCACAAATTTCTGTGTGATTTCTTGTTACTGAACTGTTTTCAGGCTTCAAAACAGCCACTGTCTTGATGTCAGAAGAAGACTCTGAATCGGCTCCTGCAACCTGTGAAGTGCTTGGTGCAGTATCTGAGACAGTGTGGTTGGAATGACTCTCAATAGTACCCAAGCAGGCTTCTACTTCGCCAGTAAACACTGGATCCCCCTTTCCCTGGTTCCTGATCTTTTGGTCCACAGAAGGTACTGAGGACCTTTGTGCAACATTTACCAATATATCTATGGCCTCCGTTTCCACACCACCGCTAAACAAGTCAGCTGCTAGTATGTCTGGAAACACAACAGCTTCTCCTTCAATTTGCTGTGATTTTGGAAGTGCAGATACTTTAGTATTGGTATTTTGCTGGTGTAGTTTCAATTCAGCAGCAGACTCATCTGAACAGTACAGCACTTTTGCATTGTGGTGTTCCTTCAGGTTCATTGGAGAAGGCTCAGGTCTCAAAAGGGGTGCAACTGCTTTATAGTGATGGTCCATGTCTGGAGGCCATACATCCTCTTGCAGCAAAGCACAAGAGTCTTCTGCCACAAGTGTGGAATCACCAGAGTCACAGGCAGCATCAGTGGGACTTTTTACACCTGGCACCTCCTTAGAACTGCCTTCCTTTGCACCATATCCCACCTGGGCTGATAATCCTATATTAAGCAGAGAAGAGTGAACACATAAAGGTTACGGTTCAAGCACCATCTGTGTCAGTAATCCATTCCAGACAGGGGTCATTTAGCATGAGTTCCCCATGTCTGGCCACAGTAAGGCTGTTGAAAGCCTATTTAGAAATGGGTTGTCCAAGTGAGGAGATTAATAAAGCTCTTACTTTGAACATACCTAATCCCAGGAATGACTGAAAAACGTTGTTTGCTTAAGGTGTACCAAATCAGTTGCTGTTTAGTTCTTTTCTGTGCATACCTCTAGTTTTAAGACTGCTACCCAGGTTTCCCTTGACTTTTCTCCACGTGTATGCCTAGAAAGGCTGTCTAAAATGATCTGGAGGATTTTCTGTATTTAAACAGAACATCTCAGCATCAGGTAGCTCTGCCTCCTGCAGCTCCAGCAGGGCTGCTGAACATCTGGATAGCTCAGACGTGTCTGCACACACAGTAACTCTGATGTGCGACAGCATCAGGTCCTGAGCCTGCCCCTGTCAACAAAGTGCCAGCATTCCCACTACACTACGGCGTTACCATCAGCCAGTGCATTTGTAATGCAGCGTCAAAGAGAAAAGTCTTTGGTGCTGCTTTGGAGAAATTTAATTCGTTTTTACAATTACAGTTGTGTTACCACTGGCAATTAGCCATTGCTCAAATGATAAGGGGGTAGGTGGCAAAGGACGATCTAGTAAATACAAGCCTATTAAAGTCACTTCACACACATAACAGATATAATGCTGAGTTTAAGGTTTTTCCGAGTTTCAAGGAACTCGGATCCCCAGTCAATGACATCTAGCCAACCTTGTAGCACAGGTACTTCTGCACATGGTACTTTCACCTCATCTATTTTTCAATGCCCTCAGAGTTCACCATTTCAGCACCACTGTGTTGAGTGGAGCACATGACTTTCTCCATCACAACACTTCAGCAGCCAGGATTGGTTTTATGCTATAAAACCAAAAGTTGCCTAGTTTGAAAGGGCTTACAATCCAAGTAAGACCTGCCAGCCTTATGTAGAAGAGTCCAAGCACCCAAAGTAGCAATACGTAAGTCTTCATTACCTTCCCAATCACATTTATGCTGGCCACCCTCAAGTAATTCTGTTGAATTTCCCTTCTTTTCTGGAGTTGCAGGAAGACACGTTTCATTTTCCAGCTGTTCCACCTGACGAGGGGCAGTAAGATCTTTTAATTAAAGAATAATGCACAAAAAATGTATTTTATACACACAAATGTTTATGAATACTCAAAACATACACACAAACCTCCTATCTTGTAATTTACCAGCACTGTGGGTAATGTACTATTCCAGTTAAGAACCTACAAATCATTCATTTTTAAAATGTCAAAGGCAGCCCATTGATCTCTCTTAAACCTGAAACATTCTGGGACTGATATATTGTGAGTGAATAAGCATGTTTTTAAGACGTCACCCAAGCTACCTGGTGGCACAGAACAGAGCAAACCAGAGACATTATCATCACTTCTGAGACCTCTCCACAATCAGCTTTTCTCCTTCAGCACTGCAGTTGTACCAGCTGCAGCACAAAGACCATCCAGCAGAGATGCTGTAGGGCCCAAGTGTCCAAGAAAACCTTATTCCATATTACACTCATCCTGATTTCTCTCCTCCTTTCTCAGGTCAGGGCACTTCTAAATCCAGGACAGCTGTTCATGCATGACTCTTTGATTGAGAGGAGAATACAAAATATAGAAGCACTACTCCTTATTTCTGTCACACCCCAGCTCAACAACCTTTTCTATCTGCTGAGTTCAACTTTACATGTTTCCTGAAAGCCAGAATGAGAAGTATCTCATCCTAATTTCCCACATGCAGAGCCACATTCCTTCCCAAAGACCATCAGTCCTTCCTTTGACACACAAAGAACAAAGTTAAAGCTAATCTGAAATTGTAGAAATAGACGTAGGCTTCATTAAAACTGCAAACTAGCTTTTCAACCAACATGAATGTTTTTACAGATGTGACACACAACTTTTTTGGCGAAATAATGAAAACCTAAAGTTGCATTTTTCTTCAGCTCTCATGATACTGAAGTTCTCCAAGTACTTTTTGTTGGGCTGGTTGGTTGAAAATAGGTGATTTCACTTCTTCCGATGGAAGAACAAAAAAAGTAAAAGAATGTGAATAGGTGGGAAAAATTGAAAATATTCTTTTAGATAATAATTAAAGTTCGCATTCCCTCCTGCACAGTGATTCTTTTCCAGAAAACACATACCTGGGGGGTTTGCTGACTCTTGCTGGTAAAGCCTTTCTGTTTCCGGGGGTTTATGGCGATCCTGTGCCTGGCTGCTGAGGTGTCCAGGCAGCCGAGGGGACTGGCAGGGACGGTGAAGTCCACGGGAAGGAAGCTGCTGCCTCGCGAGCTGGGGACGCCCAGAGTGGCAGAGGACGAAGGGCTGATGGGCCTGGAGGAAGCTCCAGAAGGTATCTGTCAAACACAAACATGTCACTGTACGTTTTGCTTGGCTTCCCCACATCTCTGCAACAATTCCTTTACTAGCTCGCTCCATTTCTGAAGCCTAAAAAGGCTGTATAAATCCTCACGTTTAAATGCACACCTAAAGTCATCTCTGCACAGAGATCACACAATCCTGTGTGTTTAGCTGTGTGTCACACAAACGCAAGAAGTAACTGTCTCCACCTCTCTCACAGCAAGAGCCTCAGCTGTCCCCTTCCCAGTTCTTACCTTGAAAACCATTTGCAATAGACGTACGCACCAGCAGGAGGCACTGGTGCAGTTTATATCGCTGCCTTTTCATCCCCCATAATGAGACACACGGCAGGAATACGTCAGTGAAAAGCTACGAAAGCAGCGTGGACGCTTGCTCCTCATTATCTCTGTTTCTAAGGAAGAAATCCAGTTTGCCGGGGTTTGTTACTGCTTGGAAATGTAGACCAGACTTTCTAGAACATCTGCAAACTTCACAGACACTCCAAACTTAATTCAGTGTAACATACCTGCTATTTTGGCTTTGGCCATAAAGACAGGTAAAACACAGCCATTTAACTCTGCTTGGCATTCAGATTTTAGTTTCGTTTAAGCGTAGGATATAACACAGAATTTAAAACATGTGTGCTGATGAAGTTTTAAAGATAATGAAAGCATCTTCCCATCTGATCTACAAAAACTCTCTAGGTACGTTGCTTTATGTCTAAGGTTTAATTTTTAGTTCCTAGATCTGAAAACCCCCACACCAGAATGTATGATGACAGATGCAGACTCTTCTCATGAAAAATTTATGTATTGTGAAAGAGAAAGAAAAACGCAGCTAGTAAATAAGCTATTGTTATAATTCTACAAGATTACTGATAAACCTGTAAAGATCACTAGACCTCATAGAAATAGTAACACTGTTACTCATTTCTACACACAAGTTCTTCTGCCTTTCAATTATAAACTTAGTTGTGCTTACTTCACACAAGAACACCTGAAGCTGGTACCTGAGCTACTGCCCTACCTAAATGGCAAATTCCCTCCTCCACTGAGCACTCGGGATTCTTTGCCTCTGAGCACCGACTGACAGTGGGTACCTTCTCTCAAAGACAGTGGAACAGACACAGGATTTCCACACCAGTGCTGAAGTGCAAGATAAACTTGGCATTTGCTGGTTATTGTGCAGTTACAGGACCCTGCACAGGGAGAATCTCACAGCTACGAGGCCCATTTCCTAAAGAGTGTTTGTGCCAAAACAGTGTCCACAGCCACACAAGCTTAGACCCTGTTTTGCTTTTAGGCAGTCTGGGTTGCAGACGCCAACAAGGAAGTTAGATTTCCATCACGGCTACCCAGCAAAGGCAGGACAACGCTGGTTCATGTCTCTGTGAAGGTACTTGCTGTTCACTTCGGGTGACAGCCTCACATTCAGCTTCAGATGAGTCAGAAAGTGGGTGTCTACCAATGTGAAAGACACTGAGAAGTGACATGGGTGACACAACAGGGTTTCACACAGAGGTGACAGCAGCGTGAAACTCTTGGAAAACCCAGAGGAGCCGCACAGGACAAAGAAACGAATTAACTGTCATCTGCAGCAAGATCAACACAGCAGTAAAATGTAAACCTAATGTAAATGTTACACTGTGCGTAACTTCAGATTGCTTAAGATCAAATCCTCTTTTTCCTTTACTAAATGCACAACACTGTTAAATTGAATAACTTGTGTAGATTTCTTCATGCTTTTCACAATTTTTCTCATCTTTGGGACGAGGTTATTCGGTTTAACAACTTGTGTTCTGCTAGCTCAGATTCCGGTATTACACAAATAGTTTCAAGTGCTACTGGAAAAACCTGATGGTTATTCAGGAAAAGGTTTTTTATTTTACATAAATGTATTGGCAAGATTTCTGCTAAGTCAAACTTCCGACTAAGAAAAACATCTGGGTAAAGGAGCATACACAGTACCGTAGAGAAGCTAGCTAGATTCCTGGTGAGCTGGAGAGAAAAAAGAAGAGCCTTTAAGTGGGGAATTCTGTGCAATACAGAAGAGAGAAAAAAGGTTCTCTTCTCCCTGTCTCTGTTTCTCCCAGGAGAGGAGGTTGTAAGATTGAAAAAGCTCAAAAACTTCAGAAACGGACAGAAAAGGGTTTTTTGCACTGCAAGGAAATAATCAGTATGCAGGCTTACAAAATAGAGCATTTTAGTCAAAATATCAAATGGGACATGAGTTAATAAAAAGTACATTGAAGTAAAGATAAAATATATGCAAGAAGTTCTTAAAAATAACAACAATCCAAGTTACCAAGATCATTTGAGCCTCAAGAGATGTGTGACTAGTGGTCTAGTATGAGGGGGAGACATTGCTTTATCTTTCTATCTCTAAAGCAAAAGATCCAGGAATGACTGAGCACGAGAGTGCCTGACCTCAGCCAAGGACAGGGAAGTTGAGCTGGTCTTGCCTAAAGGTTGTTCTCTCCCCTTGAGAAGGCCGGCCAAAGAGAGAGTGAAAGGGAAAGCTTCCTTAGCAGTGGGGTCAGCACTGTTTGATGCTCAAGATGCTGCCCTGGCTGCTTAAGGCCCTCTTCATCAGGAAGAAATCTTCAAGGTACCCTGTTACCTCCCTTTTACTTGTGGGATATCTTCAATTTTACAAAGGCTTAAATTGTGTTTTCTCTGGTGAGCTCCTCAAACAGGGATTCTGTATGGAAGAATGCAAAGCTTAGGACAAAATAACCAGTAGCTGGTTTGGACCAAATAAGTATTCCCCTTTGCAGCTAAAGGACGGATTGCTTTGCTTATACAATTGCAAATGCTATCCCACAAATCAAATCAGCCCTGTTGAAGCGGTAGCTGCCTTTGTCACTGGCATTTGAAGACCTCACTGGCATAGCCGTGGTCTGACTGGTCTTTCAAACATTGTATTAATGCTGGAGAAAGGCAATATAAGCAAGCCTTGTAGGCCTGCCTTGAAAGCATGGGATTGGCAGGAACTCAACTCAGCCTCAAGCAGCAGGGACAGTCAAGGTGAAGGTCACCTAAGCGCCTCTCCAAAAATACGACCTCTAAATTTTTCTGAGCCGGCCAAGGAACAGACTGCGTTGGTCTGACAGCAGAACCTGCTGCTTCTGATGGTCACTTATCATCCTGAGAGAACTGCAAACCAACACAGACCTCTTCTGTGGAACACCTGGCATCACCAAGGGCTGATCCTGCAATTATTTTCTGTGATGAGAGAGATGCAAGGCATTGCTCACAGGCCACTGCTGACAGGAAGGTGTTGTTAAGCTATTACTGCTCTTGGGTACTGGGGCCCTGGGACCTGTAAGCACAGTTGAGGTGCTTTTCCTTGTCCAGTTTTCTGTTGTGTAACTTTACAGATTCACACTGTGTCACTGAGCTGACCATGATGTTCACACAAACCACTTACCAGGAGATTTCTGCCTTTCTTTGTTTGGTTCTTATTCAAAATTGTGAGAGGTACATTTTCAGTACCATTTGCATCACTCTGGACTGTTCATTAATTGCTTGCTAAGATACACTGTACCCAGAATAGATTTAAAAAAAGATTATTGTACTGGCTTCATACAGACGCCACACATGCTGTCTCAGGAAAGTTTATTAGCAGGAAAAGTAGCTATTTACCTGTTCATCTTCACTGTCTGTCCCGCCTAAACTCAAAGAGCTATGACGCTGAACAGGGTTGGAGGACTGTGGGATAAAATAAGTCAAGGGTAAGTCAAGGGAAGTATCACATTCAATTACCTGGGACTGGATATCCAGTGCTAATAATGAGAAAACACAAGAGGAAAGATAAAGGAAGGGTCACTGAGTCCCTGCCTCACACAGTAAGTTTCATTTGTTCATTTGGAATCTAACATGAAGCAGGGTAGCTTTATCCTGCTATGAGATACGCCATGCAGGTTGACCACAGGATGCAATACATGTTATAAAGTCATTGTGGCTTATTGTTTTAAGATCTTCAAATTCACAAATGCTCACATGCCCACCCAAGTCCAAAATCAGGACTCTGCTGTAAGATGGCAGTTCCTAAGAAAGAATATAATCCAAATCTCCCCTGAGTCTCATCAGGACCTATTCTCCTCAGACTCATAGGACTAACACTTTCCTGCCAATTCAACTAATACTGCCTTGGTTTTGAGCTATTTAACTCCAAAACCAGTAATGGTTTAAGATTCTCTTGCAGTCCCTATTATTTTTGTTCTCTTTACTAACGTTAAAACACCTTTCACTGGTGCAGGAAGCTGCCAACCTTCCCAGCTCTTTGAAGCTGGAAGACATGGGAAGGTTGTTTGCACAGTGCGAGTACCTCAGCTTGTTCTCAGTCTGGAAGTGGAAGAGTCACAGTAACACAACTCTCATCCTGAATAATGCACTTTTTACGCTTTCTGCCACAGGGACCTGCCAGTGCCCAAAGGCACTGAGAGTTGTCGTATCAACTGAACTTGTCTCCGCTTTCCCCAGTGATACAGGTCACAACTGCCCCAGCACTGGCATACATAAAAGCATAGAAAATTGTATGCAGAAGGAGTATTTGTAAGGCCACTTCCTAGGTATTCCTCACAGCGACAAGTCCACAATCCACCTAGGTAATCTGTTCAGGTTTTGACTGATCTGTAGCATCAGATTTTATCACAAGCAAGCAAAAAGGTTTTCCCATTCTCCAAGCAGATTTTATCTGTTCTGTACAGCTGGTCACTAAAGTGATGTAATGGTTATACCTTGCTTGGTGAATCTGTCAGAACTTCATGAAGTGTTGAAATTTCAGGAGGGCTCCTAGGTAAACCATCATCTTCAGAAACAGCACCTGCATCTTCCGGTTTCTTTCCAGTTATAACAAGAGGAGGTGATCCAAGTCTGATGTTCTGCTGTAACTGAAGCTGTGGTTGAAAATAAATGTAGAATATAGACTTTCAATGGCATCATTTATAGGGGACGTTTGGATACTTTTACCCCAGTTGTTCCCATTAGGCATGCAGAATCTCTCAGTTAACAGAAATAACTGAAACAATAGAGAATTTACAGAAAATAGCCATTAATATTTTATTTAGTTACATTCATCGAAGACCCATCACTAGAACTGCCTTCAGTACAAAATTACAATAAGAATCAGCTGTAATCAGTAAGGCACTGAAGACAGAAATTTCAGCATTCCAGAAAATTTATAGCAGTTTAACTCAGTTTAAATTTAAAACTTTAAAAATTCTAGATTTAAGTATTCTTTAAATAATTACACGTATCAGGATGTTCCAAATAGTCTCACAAAGAGCTGTCAGTCAGCAGTTACCAACTCCAGGTTTATGTGTTCAGCTTTCCCTCATAAAGCCCCAGATATTGAGAGTTTGTCACCACCGTCTCCCACACAAGCAGCTGATTCCCACTTTTTATACAACAACAATTTAATTCAACTTCTGGTTCACCCTCATGAATTGCGTGTTGATTTTCCCCAGCATCACATCCTGGTCCTGTCTACAGCAAGAACGATGACAGTAGCCAGGAACAACTTTGTAAAGAATGGGGACTCTTTTCCAATATTGCATAAAAGAATGCTCTGGCAGGCCCTGACCCTAGAAAAATAAAGCAAAGTCTGCAACCTCACAAGCAGCCAGATGTTCCCTCAAACTGAAAGAGTTCAGATGTCAGGAAACACCATTACTAAAATTCTTGGCATAAGTCCTTCGGCTGTGTCAAAGCTGGAACAGAAACAAGGTCTGTACAGAAACTTTGTCCTTCAACTAAAAACGCCCCAACTGAATATTCCCAGGATAAATGAGCAGATCCGTTTTTCTCCGTTTCTTTGCTCATTAAACCAGAATGAGAAATTCTAGGCCTAACTCTGTGCTCCTCTGTAAACTATCTGTTCATTTTTATGTCTGTAAAATATATCTAAATAGCCGCCATTCTTATTCAGCAAGATTCACTTGGAATGTAATTCCTATGGATCTGACAGCTATACAGGGTAGCACATTCGTCAGCCTTTAACCTACCAGTCCCCCAGTTCAAACACCTTTCTTGCCCTCTTACCCACAACAATCCAAGAAGTATCACCAATATGATCTGCAAAGCAGGACTGATAACAAACTGCACAGAGATTGCAATATATGGGCAAAACAAGTAAAACATACAATATACCTGTGCACTTCATGGGAAGGAAAATACAGAAAGTCAGTTTTGCTTCTCTCTCTTCTCACAGCTTACCATCTTTGATTTATTAAAATTATTATATGCAGACAGCAAGTGTTGTGGGGGAAACTCTGAATTCTACTGGTAGAAGTTCATTTACATTGCTAAGAAAACAACAGCTTTTATTAGTGCTTGGCTTTTATTCTGACAAGAGTCAAGCTCACAGACACAGGCTGTCCTTTATGGCTACAAAAACAGTGCTGGCAGTATTACATTACCATGCAGGATGATGCGCGGATGAAGAGAGGGCGCAGCGGGCTGGAGATAGCATGAAAAGAGCTTTCTTCCTCCCCAACAAAGTTCTGTCATGTATAAACATGATTTCTTGTGCTGCTCCTATTGTTATGCAAAAAATACTCTACACTGAAGGTGAGCCTATTTTGCAGTCTTACGGAGGAACAAACCCCTCTGTGCATCTTCTCTTACTTAAAGCGTGACGCAATTGTGTTTGGCAACGTGAAGCTCACACTGAGGAAAAGAAGCACTTCAGTGGCCTTTGGCTGCCTTATCAACAGTTTGTTTTCAGTCTCTGGAAAAACACTAAACTTTTATCTCAGTGCTCTGAGCTGGGCAGTTATTTGAATGCAATTAATGTTACCAACAGTTGATAAGGGAGCTGTCAAGGAAGGTTCAGTATGTGCCTTGGAAGAAGGAAATGACCTAGCAGAGTACAGGATCCTTTTCTGGCAGAGATAAGAAGAATAATGACAAATAAAGCTGCCACTAAGAGTGCCCTGACATATCCATCATCCCACATACTTACGCAGCCGCTGGTATGTACAGTGAAAACATCATAGCCAGAATTACAAAAAAGAATAACATCTAAAGAATATATAAAGAGTAACAGTGTAAGGGACACGGCGCAGTTTAAGTGAATGGCCTTACCCGAAGGCAGGAGGTATGATGTAAAGAATGGGGATCCCATTGGAAGAGGACATGGTCATTAAGGAAGGTTTGCAAGAGTCTGTGAACTGGATTCATGTCACCCACACAGATGGGGTGCAATCTTGATGCTGAAGCATCAGGACTGCTCAGAGATGCAGCTTCCAAGAGGCAGAACAGATCCCAAAGGAGTAAATCTGGCTTTGGGCACTTCAGTCAACAAAGTCCTAAGGCACGCAGCAAAGGAATCAAGCAACAGAGTTTCCTAGGAGACAGCTAACACAAAGCAGCACCATGAATGAGGGGGTGATGTTCTCACCTGCAAAGTTTTCACTCTTCCAGGTATGTTTTCCTCAGACAGCATGTCACCTGCCTCATGTCCTGGTGCAGACTCAAAAATGAAGACACTGTCATGGGACAAGGCCTTGTTTCCCATGCTTCCTTTGGGCCTGGGAAGGAAGGAAGAGTGGTCAGTGCACTGGGTACAGCCCTCCAATACTTCCTTGCACTGCTTCAGTGGGGCAGAGGGATCACAACCAGGCCAGGGTGGGATGCTTCTCACTTAACTTTAGGTATCTGCACGTTAGCTGTCTAAGGTAGTCACTGCTAGCTCCTTTTACACTCAGAGGGGAGGAAGACGCACATTTTAGGATGCTGACTGACCACATGTGTCCCTTTTCAGATGTACTCAGCATCTGCAGTGAGCACAGGCTAGTCTCTGCGGACTACAGAGAGAGCCCAGGGTGATTAGATCAGATGCTGAGATTTAGCTGGATGCAGGCCACCCTCAGAGATGTCTACAGTGCAGAAGGGGTCACAGGAGCCCCCTGCCCTCCTTTGGTGGCAACGTGCCCAGCATGAGACATTCAGGACACAACTTTCGCAGCCTGGTCATACCTACCAAAGATTGTGGATTATTTTTCCCCTTCTTGAAAATGCAGGTGCTACGCTAACAAAGTTGATTCAAATCCTGTCAAGTTCAGCAATAAAAGCAGTTCTGTTCACCTGTATCACGAACACCCAAGCATAGTAAAAACTGTAGATGGGACAAATGTCCATAGCCGCAGTTACGTACCTATCCACAGCCAAGTTAATCAGATGAGACACTCTTGCTCGCTGGGTGTTCAGCCCAGTGAAGCACAGACAAGTTCCCACAACAGCTGTTAACGGAGTTGTAATCAACTGAGATTGATTGGGCTGGGGCTATTAGGCTGAGCAGGGCAAATTTTGCACTTGGATGGCATGACAAAGAAGGCTCCAAATCTTTTACTGACTGAGTGCCACCAGCATAGGCAAGCACTGTCTGTACATTACTTGTCCTGAAGACCACAAAGATGGCCTCTAGCAGTATTTCATTCTAGCACTTAGCTGGAAAACAACAGAGAATACTCTCATGTTGTTGGCTGCCAGCCTTGTAAGCCAGAAGTTACAAGGATTCCTTGGCTCAGCTGCCATGCAGGCAATGCTCACTGCCCCTGAAAGATTGACTCTGGGTGACAGTGGATGATTAGGAACAGAATTTGGGAAAGGAAAAATCCAGTAATTCTAATGCTCTTCTGCAGTAAATAAAGTATAATAGGTCTCTGTTATTTGCCTTAGGCCTCTATTTCGAAGAAAGCCCTAAAAGACTGAGCTTTCATAAACTAAATATACCATGTAAAAAAAATTTCAAGCAAATTACACTTTTTCCCCCCCTCCTGCAACTCCCTTTACATCTCTGAAGACAACATCTCCTTTGTCTGCTTGATTAACCCTCCTATAGCCCCAGAGGTGTAGCCAACCACTACACAGTTATGCTGAGTCTCACAGTGGGGCAAAATAATCTTGCTCTATGTTTAAGCCATGGTCCAAGACAATCTGAGCTCTTTCATAGCACAGCTCAGAGTTTGGGCTTCTTCTCTTTGTATGTAATAACAGTTAATGTCTGCATTACTTTTTAGGTAAGCAGTTCTCCACACAAGTAAGCACTTGCCTTATTTCATCACTGAAGTGAATGAAGCCATCCCATCTTTTTGTGTTTGATTTTAGAGTTCTTTTCACAGTGAAATACACTCTATGTGGGCAAGACATAATTTTACTGCACTCAGAAAGACAATGTCATTAAACTTTCATTTACTCCAATGTATATTCACTAATAGTTGACATTTCATTTACTGCAAAGAATGCACGTGCATTAGGATGCATTAGCCTTTTTTATTTGGAGATTTCTTCACTTCCTTGACTTGGAATTCTTTAGCAGTAAGAGCTGAGGTTTCCTTGTTCTTGAAACTGCCAGTACAAGTTTCTTCCTTTCTCTCTTTGCATATGCATCATATGCTTTTGCAAGACAATCACTATACTTTCTTCTGGCAGTCACAAAAAGAACGTTGGATTAAAGATAGCATTAACTGCAGCCTTAGTACAGATGAATCTCCTCCATGCAAATATACGATCATGCATAACTCCAGGCAGTGTATTTACACTTGTGCTGAAGTTCAAGATGCAGTGTTAGCTAAACCCCCAGATGCTTGAGCCAACAGATCTCCACACTGATTTCCCTATACAAATGCTCAGTTAATTCATGTGTATCCACATTCGAGCTGCCATGACAGAGGAAATTATGGGACTCTGTGGCCAGCAATAAAGCCACTCCTAAACTTATCATGGCCTGTGATATCTCCTACTTCTTATTGCTGCAACACCACTCCCTTTCTCAGTGCTCGAGGTGGAGAGAAGGAAGGTGAAACAATTCCTTCAGGCAGCCGCTCCCTCAAAAACAGCGGCAGCCTGCCAAAAGAGTGTGTTCATCACAAAGCCCAGGACAATTTTACATATCATCTCAGGAGTTGTTCCTGCTCAAAGCTTTTTAACTGGAATAAGACTATTTGGGACCCAATTTTCCTCTATCCTCTGTTATCCTTTCGATGATACAGAAGTCATCCACATCACATGCTTTGACTTTGCCATCAAGGCTTTTTCATTTCTATTCAAAACTCACGCCCCTTGGAAGATAAAGAGGCAGTGGGACATAATGCCCCCTCCCCTCAGAGATGTCAAATCCCATTGATTCCCTGCAGCCCCTTGACATCCAGGCTCACCCCTTTCTCTGTTACAATAAACATTTGGCACGTCTGGGGGTTTGGTCTCTGGTTAATATTCAGAAAAGTTAAACTTTGAAAAGATTACATGGTATTAAAAAAAAGGAAGAAAAAAGAAAGAAAACCAGTGCTGCTGCCTCAAGAACAAACAGCACCATTGTTCTAGGATTGGTTTTGATATTCTGCATGCCAGAAATTGTAAAGCTCAGGGCCCTGCTATAAGCCCTTCACAAGCTGTATTTCCACAGGCTTTCAGGATCAGGTCTTCCAAAGGGTTGGGTTGTTCAGTCTCTCTAGATACTTACAAAGCACACTTTTGCCATGCAGGGTCTGGATGTGATAGGATTTTCAAACAGCACAAACATACTCTCTAACATTTTTGAATAGTCCATCCAATTCTATCGGTAAGGGAAAAAAGCAGAAGGGTTTTACTCACTTTCTGGTCTCTGATCTTGCAAAACAGTTCATGATCACTGGAGGACAGTGCTGAGATAAACAGCAATTGGACTTGAACTACTTGGTCAAGGGCAAGACAAAGAGTTGGCACCCACACTGTCTCTGGAGCAGACAGCCAGTTTTAAACCAGATCCCTCCTCTGGGCTGATGGGGTAATCTCAGCTGTTCCTAAGATGGGACTGGCTTAGCTGAGTCATTCTAATTCCCCTTACCTCAAGGGACTGGTTGTGTGGTCACTTACTCCGTTACTGTTATGCTAACAAACAAAAAAAAGAGATTGTTGTTTCATTCCCAGATCATTTCCATGATGCAGATGCATAAACACAACAGAGACAGTGGGGAAAGGTGAGGCAGGGAGGCACGAGCATCCATGAGAAAGTAACGTCTATAAGCTGCTCCACCACAAGAAATGCAGTGTCCAGCAGCACCAAATGCCTTATTTGACGGTACAAAGCACGTGGTAGCAATGCTGACTTCAGCATGTCCCACTCTATTCATGCCCTCTGCTAGTGACACATCCATGCAGTGTTCCCTCCAACAAAACGCTGCAAACCATAGGATGTGGCCGGTTTTTTGACACACTTAGTTAGGCTGCAGCTCCACAATATAGGATGTGGCCGGTTTTTTGACACACTTAGGCTGCAGCTCCACAACCCAAGGCCTAGGGTAATGCAAAGAGCAGCCTGGCTGAGTAGCTCATAGGGGAGTATGAGGAGGGTGGGGAGTGGAAAAACAGCCAAATTACAGGTTGTCAGACACTGATCCATGACACCTCTGGCGAGAGACTTGACCGTGTTCAGAGGGTTGCCCCACCGCAGATTCAGTCAGAGCCATGCAATGGCAGTGTTGTGTAGCTCGAAGGTCTAAGGTTATCAGTGAAGCAGTCTTGGCAGTGCAAGCTAATAGCTTGTGTTACACTAACTGAAAAAATGGGACACGTTTTTGAACTCACATCATCAGGGATCAGAGAATTGCTCCGGACACACCTTAAGGACTTGCAAACCTCACTCACATGCACTGCCCTTCAGGAGTAGCTGACACACAACTAGAGGCCTTCAGTTGTTATCTGTACCTAAATGGCTATGTAAGAAAGGCAAAGCAGCAATCCCATACCGGTAATACACCAAAAACACTTCTTTCCCTTTACCCCAGCCATGATGGAGGGCCCCATTTATGCTAAAAAATAGCAACTCAACTTTGCACGTATTCTCTCTACTAGCAGTACTCCATCATCATCCTCTTGCAAAGCTGCTGCTGATCAGACTTTCCAGGACAGATTTCAAACTCTAAAACCAACGAAAACAATCTGGGCTATCTGCAGTTTTAGACTAAGAGGTTGGATCACCCCTCCAAAGAAAGAGGAAATTCCTGGGATTCCTTCTCAGCATTAGGGCTTGTTTTGCACAAACTTGGACAGAGGCTGCTCCTTAGGGGCCAACTCATGCTTTCATCCTACTGCTGTATGAGGTCCGTTTTTATTTCTTTATTTTCCTTCCCCAGCAGCTTACCCAGCCTCCTTCGGTGAATGAAGTGCAGTAGTGTCGAGCACAGAGACGCTGACATCGCTGCTGGACTGGCTAGGTTTTAAATTACTCTCCCCCCTGGGAGGTGGAGGCTCTTTCCTTTTCTTCTTGGCAAAGAAGTTCTTGAAAGTCTGAAATTTGGATTTTTTCTTTCCTGCAACATGAGAAAAATGAAAATTTATGGAAGTTGGAGGTTTTGCCTACCTTGGAGAATGTTATCTCTTAAATTCTGGAGGAAGCCTCAAAGCCAGAGCAGCCCATTCAGCTTTAGTTGGCTCCTCTGTAAATAATTCAGTGCTGGAGTCCAGTGAAAGGCGAAGCTGCAGTTCTTACATCTGCTGCCTATAAAGCAACACCAGCATTAACCTGACAATAGTGGTCCTGCTTACGTTCCACTTTATGAAAAATGCACTTTATACAGAGAATACATCTATCTACAACTGAGCAGTGATCATGCCAATCTTACTTGATATATTTTTTAAAAACCCCAACTGTGTCCATGCCTTCAACTCTTATTCTTTACTTAGCTCAGTTTAGTTCTGTTTTTATTTACTCAGTTCTGTAAGACAACACCTGAAGGATATTCAACATCTGGCAACAAGACTGAAACCGGCAAAAGAATTTATGACTTCAAAACCAAAATATCTGTTTCCACATTAAACCAGTGACTCAAAATAAAATCAGTAACTGCTCCAAAGACAATGGAGCAAACTTAAATTAAGACACTGCAGGACATGAAACCCCCAAACACAGCAGCCCTAAGAACACACTGGAAAACTGTTAACCTGATTTCAGATTTTCCACTGTTCAAATGAAAAGAAATACAATAAGAATAAAATAAACCATATGAAACACTTTTAAAGTTTTTATTAAGCTAAGACACTTTCACATTATTATTTATATTTCAGGACAAGTGGTGCATTTTGGCACTGACCCTTACATTGAGGGGTCAGTTCAGAGTGGTTTGGGCCAAACTATTGTACTGCAACCCCTGTGATTGACTTAAATACTCATGCAGAGCAATAACATCATTGCATATCTGAGCCAAATTCATTCTTCAATTAATACTTTACAGCAGTTTGCATAATAAACGCCCGCAGCTGGGGGAGTCCTTCATAAGCAAGGCATTATTTTCAACACAATTATTGTCTTCTCCCAGCGATGATTTGGTGGGCGCTGCTCTGCCCCAACGCGTGCCCTGTACGTGCAGGGATCTCTGCCAACAGCCTTATCTGGGCTGAAGCTGAGCCCCGGCACAGCTGCGTCAGACAGAAGCCACTCTGAGAAACAAACAATGGTGCTGAGATCTACTCACGCTGTCTCCTCCCTGCTGTCCAGACCAGTGCCAGCACCACGCGTCAGGACGTACAAGGACGCTGCTACGCTGTCCAGCAGGGATCGATGAAACGGCTGCACCTCTCTGCAGAGCAGGGAAGACCTGCACTTTGCTTTTCAAGTGACTTGGGCTGTCACAGAGATCCAATTATCTTTCAACCCATGTAAGGCAAAACAATCAGTGGAGTCTCACTCATCTAAATAATCATGAGATGTGGGGCTTCTATGGAGGGTTTATCAGTGAAAACCTTTTTAATGTTCCACATCAGGCAGTAAGTGAATGAGACAGTCACAGACAACATACAGGTTATACTGCCTGCCCCAGCTACAGAGCTGACCTCAGTGCTTTTGGATTTGTTAAGGCTTTCACAGGGCTCGTTGAGTTTCACGCTGCACTCATAGCAAGAACTGGTAAGAGAAGACAGGTCACACAGCAGCCGGATGACTGTGGTGCCTCTCACACAAAACAAGCATGTTGAGAGCCCTTTAGAGAGTCTTTGGAAATACCTCCCTGCCATTACTGCCATTCACACCAGCAATTAGACAACATACACGGTATTCTCCCAGGAAGTCTGTCGAAACTGAGTTTGTTTATTTTAGATGAGCAAAACAAAAGATTAAAAAGTTTCATGAAAGCAGTGTCCCAGAATTATCAGTCCCGTGACGGCAGCTAACACAGCCCAAGCACCCAAAGAACGAAATGGCAGACTTTGCTACATGCAGACAGCTCTGCAACTTAACGGCAAGGACGTAGTCACGTTCACTGGTCAGCTGGCAGCGGTACCAACAGAAAGCAAGTTTGATTCTAGTGCAAGTATTGCTATTGAGCTTAATTAGATGTTGGCATTTCCAGCGAACCAGGGGAACGTTTAAAAAAATAAAACAAAGCACCACAACACACACCAAAAAAGTGCTCCTAGGGACATTTAAGAGAAACAGACATAGGTCCTACCACAAATGACAACACTGCCAAGGTACCACTGCAAACACTCGACTGGATCAGCAGTGGTGCTAACTTCAGAACGGAGCCCATGGAAAAGATCTGCAAACGCTGCCAACGAGTAACCTCGGCTGGCAGGGGACAGCACTGGGGAACTGCTGTGCAACAGGGTCCTCTGATGCAGACACACCAGCAACTTCAGCACCTTCTCCAGCCTCTAATTTATGACTGATGTGCAGGGCACATCCCCTCCAGCCATAACTCCTCTTCAGCCATGCTCTACTCAGCTGCATGCCTTCGGGTGTTTCAGATGAATGAGAAAGCAGTAAATTTCCCTGAAGCTTCAGGAGACGGGCACTTACCATATTATTACACAAAAGAAAGGATAAATCACTACTCGACACTTAGTGCTGCATGCAGATGAAAACCGTGGGGCTGCCCTCTGCAAGAGCACTTGGCAATAAAGATACAGCTCGGAAAGAGGGTGCTCAGATTAGTTTCCTGCTGTGAACTCTTGGCGCTGGTGTCGCACACGTTAAAAGGATGCCACATTCAGTTTAAAGGTGCCTACACTTCCGTGCACTGTGAAGTCCAAGATATCACTAAATTGGTAGAATGCTCCATGATACTTGAACTAACAATATACACGAGGATCTCATTGCTTAAAATGGAAAAAACCCATTGCATAACAAAAATCCTGTCAAAGCAAGGAGAGAAAACCCAGGCCCAGACAATTATGCATATTTCCCCTTCACCCACTGATGAATAATGACTCATGATTTTTGAATTCTCAATCTTCAACGTTATGGCATTAAAAATAAAATACTAAATCGAAAAGCTACTGCCCTTAAAAGCAAAAGCCTTCCCAAAAATTAGTTGGATTTAGCCCACTGTAACAGGAAAGGAGCAGGAGCGAGCATTTGGCTTTTTCTGTAAGGTTTGCTTATTCTGTTTTTTCCTGTTTGTGTATGCCTAGTTCATTGTTTCTCCTGTGTACACACAGAACCAACACATCTTTCTGCTCTTTGCATGGTTCTTCCCTATAACAAGATTTAAGAAAAAAAGATGCTTTTTCCAGTGCAAAATTTAGAATATAAAAAGCATAGGCGACATCTGATGAGCTCAATGATCATATTTCAATTAAACAGATAATTTTGTTCTATGCTCTCTGACTTCCTAAGCAGCATTCAGGATGCGTTTTCCTTTTTTTTTGCTCAAATCCAAGGACTCGATACTTTCACCATTAAAAACACACGATAAGAAAAAATCCCACAGACAAGATTCTCAGAAAATACAATGATTCTAGCTTCATTAAAAATACCTGGTACTGCCAGACAGGCAATAAAATACTGGAATTAAGTCGGGCTAACAGTGGGTGCTGACAGCTTTTTGACAGTGACTGGTTACTACCACAGAGAAGGAGCAGCGTGCGCTGGAAGCCATACACTACTAGTCAGACAAAAAGGGAAACCTCAAGAAATTAATCTAATTGACTAGACCATGAGGGCTGGGGATTTTAGCCTCCTAGAGCTTACATCACAAGCCAATTAAAGCTCTGAAGAGGAATAGGTGAGGCAATCCTACATCACATGGGAACTAAACAAAAGATCCTAAAATGGTTTACTCCTGGTGGTTTTAGAGCCAACACATAAGACAGCAAGCCATCTGCTGCCCTCTGGGTCAGAATTTGATCCTCTTTCTGAATCTTCCAGTGAACTCAAGTACCGAATTTGCATGCGTGTGTTTCACACAGGTTCACCAGTGTGTCACAGATAGCACGTGTGTGATTACCTAGATTGTAAATTTAAGAACCGTCCATCATTACACTTTCTTCATCCATCTCTGCCTGCCATGCAAAGTTCAACTAACAGTCACTTTGCCGTTGCTCCTCTCTTCTACCAATACTCTAATGGTGGCAAATGTATTTCTAAAGGATAAAGCAAGATGACCTTGAAACACGAACATTCAGGACGATTGCGAGACATTAGCCAAAGAAAAGAAATAAAAAAATCAAACGATACGACAGCCACTCTCCTGAAATGCCTCAGCCACGGTGCTATTCTTTGTAGTCACTCATCTCCTCAAGAATAATCCGAACACTGTCAAAGGGAATTTCCTTTAAGACAACTCTTAGTTGTAAGATATTTTCCTTTCTCACCTATAATTGCATTTCCTTGTGGCTGTTTGCATCAGGCCATACCACTAGATTAAAGAATAAGTAACAAGCGGTTGTCTGTGGCCAGAAGCAGAGACTGGGGCTGCAGTGGGGCTACTGATGCAGCCCCACAGCCAGAGACTGGCCAACAGGCTCAGCTCCCAGCTCTGTAGGATGCGCCAAGGCAGGCACGACAATCAGCCCTTCAAGCTCTAACGTCCTGTTTTTGAAAATCCAAGCCAGAATCAGGAAAGAATATCCTCCATCAGGCTATAATCCTCCAGTACTGCACATGAAAAGATCCTTCCCATAATATTGTCAGCTGACAAAGCCACATCAGGTCTTTTTACACTACAGAAAAACAAAAGAGCACCACAAAACAAGTCATTACAGACCCCCCGACCCGAAGAAAACAAACCTTGACTTCCAAATCAGCTATACTTCAGGAGAACAACTGCTTACCTGTGCACTCTTCAACTGTCTCTCCTGTTTCAGGTGACTGTGTGACCTCTGTTGGCCCTGTAGCCATGATGTAGTCACTGAAACACAGATGAAAGCATCAGTTAGACCTTAGTCCACCTTCCCAGCAGAACACGGTCCCACCCAGCGTGAAGAAAGAACACGGCTTGATCCTTTCTGAAACCGCGTCTCCAAATGCTTATCACAAACATGGCTTGCACGCTTTTTTGCACTTCAGCCACAGAACTTCTCATTTTCCAGTAACACTTATTTCTCCAGCCAAAACTAAGAAAGCAGTCTAATTTCTTGCCAGTACCTCTCTCTTTTTAAGAAAGCGGGATCAAATTTTGCATTAAATGAAAGATGCCATTAAACTCGCTCAGCAAAGACTGTAATGCTTCCCAGTCTCAGAATAATGAACCTTTATGATTGCTCTTTGCTGGAGTGACAGCTCCGTGCTACTGTAAAAAACATCTTAAGCGCGTGTTCCACTGCTGAGGGTTCATGCACTACAGTGTCCTCACAGCAGGCACCAGGCCAGGCTGTCAGCATTATTAAAATTAGTTAAGCATCAGCACTGAAGCATCATCCTGGGCTACGCTACATTTGTGGAAACCAATAGATCAAATTTATTTTGGATCCAGTGCAATCAGCTTTTAGCCACAAGCTTTGAAACCTTATCGCAAGCAGGGCTATTGATCAACCAAATTAGCTGATGGCATCATCTTCCTCCCTGATGAAAGCAAAAGTTCAGCCTAGTTTTAAGATCATTCAATGCTAACCGGCTCCACCTTGTATTTTCCAAGACTCCTAAATGGGTGTCTGTCAGAGACAAAGGAATTAAGCAGCAGCCCGCAAATGTCAAGCAACAATGGAAATGTGACAGTTTAGCAGGGCAGCTCATAAATATTGTCCTTTGTTACGGAAGATGTCCAGGTGATACGTTTACACAGTGAGCAGTTCCAGTGTGCTGTGCCAGGACTTTGAGAGTAAGAAATCTTTACAAACAAATGAAAATTCCCAGGAAAAGATGCTTTCCTGCATAGATCTCATCTAACCATTTTCCACCTCAAAGCAGTATAACAATACTGCCAAGTTAAGGATCTCAGCAGCAAGCAAGACTAGGATTCTATACTAATTTGGCCAGTCAGTGAATTACTCTGTTTTTCCTGTACCACCCGCATGTTCTATAATCTGTCATGCCCAACAGCACCGGCATTGCCTACGAGCCCACACCAAAAGACAAGGTCCACCAAACCAGAGGCAGAGGCGATGGGACTGTCAAATAAAAGGCAGCAGGCAACAGATGTAAAAGAGGCAGGGCTGCTCCAAAAAAGCAGACCGTGGAGGAAGCTCTCACGGTACCTGCCACACAGACAGGCAAACTGCTGTGCTGCCGAGCTGCGGGCACACGCGGAGGCGACAGGCTGCCGTTTTCTGCTGCTTTGTAACAGATCATCTGTGAGAGGGAACACAGGAAAGTATTAACACACTGGACTCCCAGACAATCTCATCTCAGCTGGCTAAAATAAAATAAAAAGTCATTGCAGTGACCAGGGCAATTACAGCTTTTCTACATATGATGAACAGAGAGTGTTTTTGAAACAACTGCTAAATAGTATTAAGAAGCAACGAAAACCAAGACTTTTAAGATGTTCCCTATGGGATTATCATCATAACCATTCAACTCCTCTCTCTTTTCTCCACGTCTCATCCATTATCCACAAGAACACCTGCATTTCCTGCATATTGCTATTAAAGTGGTCATCAGCAGACTTTCTCATAGACTTTTTCTCTGTATTAAAAAGAGATTTGGTTCCAATTTTCCCCCTCAACTTTATACACCGTGCACATTGATTACACTAGATTTTTACTGAGAAAAAGGAAAATGCATTTGAAACAAAACATCAAGGAAGCACTCAACAAATTTACAAACTGGCAAGTCCCCAGACTTGAGCTTATGTCACAGAATGTGAGCAGACCTGACACTTGACTCATTTACACCTCTAACTTCTGCTTTACGCAACTTCAATGAAACCAAAAAAAGGGAAAATGCTGCATTCAGATGCACTTTTGTTTGCACCAGCTCTACATTTATTTAAATTACGTGATCACCTCAGCTGCTCACTGAGAACACTTCCAGCCTTTGGAGATATTTTGACTGCTGTGTTTATTACAACTGCATGCATTTATTTCCATTTGGTATAATTTTTATACAAGTAGAAGGATAATCACGGAGCAGTTCAGCTCCAAGGCAGTCTCTTCACAGACAAATCAGCTCCTGCATTAATTTGATTTCATAGCTGAGTTCTCTGGGGTATATGCAAGTTAAGTATCAATTGCACGGGTGCATCGGTTGTTTGCAAATGTGCCCCATTTAGGACCTAATGGTTTGATGTGTTCCTATACCTCATCATGTGTTCCTATACCTCATCACAGTATCATCTTTTTCCAGTGAACTGAACAGGAGAAGAGATAAACAACCACAGATTTTTCCAGGCTTTAAGTTAGCAAGTATTTAAACGACTAGAAAAAAAGAATATCTTTACAGCGAAGTGTAAGTTCCATCATTAAAAGCTTGCTGCCATACCTGAAGGAAAGTTAGCAATCAGATAATAAATTCTGGCGGTGGTGAGCTGTACTTTCCAGAGAACAGCTACCAAAAGTTCTGGGCAACAAACCCTACCCTGGGGATCAACGTAATGGAGAAAAAGAGGACAAAGACCCATCAATACAAATGCATGTGAGTGCACAGGCATTAACTGATCGAACCTTCAGACATTCAGCACTTAATGACAGCTGACAGGGCAGTGTCGGGATGTATCAATACCATCCACATTCGGTTCAATCAGCTGCAATAACCATGTGCCCCCTGTGAGCTCTCTCAGAACGCTATGCCATCAGACAAAGTTTTAAACAAATACTGTATGTGTATCAATTTTTACCAACAAAAATATCAGGTTAAATAAATGGCCTTTTGGAGCAGTATTTCTGATACTCTTCAGGCTAGGAGATGCTGGAGGACGGCTAGGAGAAGGAGCTCGCAAAGGAAGGAAGGAAACTCCTCAGCAGGGGAGCAGCCACGGCAGAGCAGTGACAGATAGACAGCTACGGCCAAGGCAGCAGAGATGTCAAGACCCAGCTCCTGTCTGCTTCCCACTGGAGTTGGAACAGTGGGCACATTTTCCCACTCTACAACTTCCCACTCACGTTCCTAACCCTCTCTCAAGCAGTCTTTGCAACCCCTGCACGTGCGCAGGCCTCCTGCTGCAGAGGTGCAGTACAAACGAGATGCTGAGTCTCTGCTGGACACCTTAACAGCCAGGCCTGGCCCTGCCCAGGAAGCCCACTGCAGCAATTCCTGTGTAAGGCCATGGGAGAGGAGCAAGGATCGGCTGCATGGTGTTCACGTCTCCTTGCGCAGGGCGATGTGCTGGATTATTACACCTATGAATTAAGGAATCACTTGCAAACAGTGAAGCGGCTTCCTATACAGATGCAGTCACAACAATAAACCTGACATTACCAGACCCCATTTGTATTACCAGGGTGTATTTTAAAGCAATAAAAGTCCTACAAAGTCACAGGGCTTGCTTTACTTTCAAAGCAGGCAACAGAAGCTAGTTAGCTACCTTCACTACCCCCACCTGGTCTGATGGCTTAGACCTAGGCTCCCTGCTATCCCATACAAAACTTCCATTAATAACCCTACCGTGTTGCATTCACTTGGAGCTCTTAATTCATTAGAGGAACTAATGAGTCTTAAGAGAAAAAAGGAGTCTCCAGGAACAGAAGTATCCTTGTGTCCCTTTTACAAATTGGGGAAACTGGAGAGATATTTGGAGTGCTCTATGGGAGGGCAGTGAGAGGGCAAAAGAAATGAAGTCCCAGGGTGGTGTTCTGACTATTCCTTTATCCCAGCTGAGCACATTACTGAATACATACATCATACAGGGGAATGCTAGAAGAAGAAAAGACAATTCCCTTTCACTGCTTGGTTTGTGTATTTAAGGACTCCTGGGAGGTTAACATTGTACAGGACTCAATGTTTCCTGCATTTAACAAAGGCCTAAGACAAACAGAAACGCTTTCTGCTGAGCCTCAGAAACGGGATGTCACCTCCCTGCTGTCTCTTCAGCAGAGCAGGAGACCTGGAGACTGCACAGCAAGCAAGCTCCGACCCCACCTTTGTAAGTGCTTCTTCAGCTTCAGTCCCATGCTTCTGTACAAGCGTTCCGGAAGGCCACGACTGAGGGATCAAAGGAGATGCTGAAACCTGAACAGCCCCTTTCCAATCAAACTGAGGAAATAAAGGCTCAAGGATATGAGGCACTGCATTCAGTCAGCATCTTCATAGCCTACAGAAGAAGACAGACAATGGCAAGCAGCCAGGAGAAAGAGGTGAAGTTTTTGTCTGGAGCTTTTAAAGGCCAATTTCCTTCATGCTAAAAAAATTACCTGAAATCAAGTTTAAGCGCCAGATCTCAGGACGCACACTTTGCACAGCAAGATGGATCAGCATAGGGAAATACCTACCCCTCATCTGGTCCTCTAGGCCACCACTCTGCCACCAGCCTCTCCCCTAAACACCCTTCAAGCTACCGCAGGACCTCAGAGAAAGCCCCTCTATTTCTCCTGAGTACCAAGTTTCAAAAAAGCACCGAATGCAGGATGGTTTGGTATTCAGGTTACATTCTGCAGCAAAAGGTCACTGACAGGTTAATTTTTATTCTGTCTTATTAAAGCACATTAGAGGACTTCATTCTGAAAAATGTGGTTGATTGCTTTCCTCTCTGGGAACTCTACAAGCTCACTATCAATGAACTCCTTAATCCAATGACAGTAAGTGAAATGAAGTCTACCCTCTGTGACTGCACGGAACAGGATTTCAGAGTCAATCATAAGGCAAGAGCAGAGCCAGCAAGATTTCTATTCAGTTTTCACATCCCTTGAGCATACCATAAACTCAACAAACAAAGTTCTCTCTGCTCTCCATGCAAGGAGCCGAGCGAGCTGCACCTCGCGGTCCATGTTCAGGAAACGTGGGATCCCACGGACAACTTTGCTGAC